GCCTCGAGTTCGGTCTTCATTTCGGCATTTAGCGTTCGTATCTAGAGGCTAATGCTATCCAAACTAGCTTCTCGTGTTAGCTCCCTGGTAGCCTCCTTGGTTAGCATCTGCTTCGTATCCTTAAGCCGGGCGTACACTGTGCGACTTTTTCACTCGCAGCGTTCAGCTTCAGCTCAAACTGTACGACTTCCTCGCAGAGCAGATCTCACGAGTCATGTGCTCACACTGTACGACCCAGTTCTCGCATGCGACCTGACTGCTCACACTGTACGTCTGGTAGCAACACGTCGGCCCTAAAAATATGCTAAAAATAGCAGTTTTTACTCAACACGTCAGACTTTTTTGTCTTGTTTTGCCTGTTGTCCTTCAGGAGTGCTACAGGAGGACACACAGGGATTTATGGGGGTTGGATGAGGAAAACGAAATAAAGAAAGTAAATCTGTGTTTTGTGATCAGTTTAATTTGACATGAACACGACAAACACGCTTTCTTGACAATCTTTGTGAGTAAAAAAAACGTGTAGAAAAAAAAACGAACAGCGTGTGTTATTAGGGAAATAGCGAGCGAGCGGCGTTGATGCAGGATTGCGCATGCGCCGTGAGCGGTTCTGATACTTTTTGGGTCGCAGCTGCTCGCAGCGCCGCTTCAACAGTGCGATACCCTCACGAGGGATGAGCGAAATATTAAACACTCCAGAAGTCCATGCGACCTCACGACTGCTGATCGGCAGCTGGTCACGTGGTGTTAATCGCCTCTCGTAACCCTCTGTACACCACACGACCGCTCGGCGCAAAACTCGCCCCGATGTTGTGGATTCTCGCACGACTGGAAAATCGGCTAAAAAAAAGTGAAAAAGTCGCACAGTGTACGCCCGGCTTTACTTGTTTTCTTGCTGCCTTTTGTTCTTCCCTTTAGTCGTTGTTCCTCCACTCATTGTTGCTTCTCCTTCTTTTCCTTATTTTTTCTTTACAGTTCAGGCGTTTTCTAGTTCATTTTTCTGTTGGTTATACGGAGCTCCTTTCACTCGCGTCTACTTCACTCGCTCTCCATACCGGAAGTTCCAGCAGTATTTTTTTTTACAAATGTTTAAAATGTTTTAGAGCACGGCTACTCAACAGCCAGCCCACAAACCACATCTTTCTGGCTGCTGAAGGTGGCGCCGTATCAAATGTGCAGATCGTTGTTACACCAAGAAGAGCTACAGCCTGAGATGGTGTGCTCCAAAGGTTCGATCATTGGAGAGAGAGTTTAGCAAAGCATGTAATGTCGAAGTGGCTCTTTAAGAAGCACTAAAAAGTTTTCACTTTAAGCTGTTTCTTTCAAACTGGCTTCAGTGGTTCTTCAGACATAAACTCTGCAGCTTCACATTGGACAGCACTCTGCAGCCCTCTGCTGACCAGAAGCTGCACTTAAAGGTTTTGTCTTCAGGTAGGAACTCTAGTGAGAGCGCTCTATCTGCTTTACATCAATAGCTGTTTGCTGTGCTGGCAGCCCATATAAAAGCTACCAGTTAGCTAGCTTCGGGCAACGGTGGCACAGGAGTTAAGTGCTTGCACCGTAATCGGAAGGTTGCAGGTTCGAGCCCCACTCAGTCTGTCGCTGTTGTTGTGTCCTTGGGCAAGACACTTAACCCCCCTTGCCTGCTGGTGGTGGTCAGAGGTGCTTGGCAGCCTCGCCTCTGTCAGTGTCATCATCACACACTAGTAAAATTAAATCTCCGCATTTGACCCATCCACTCGGGAATGTCTGGAAGAAAAAGTAAGAGGGGCTGGTCTTTGGAGTTGATGCAAAGAGGTAAAACTAGAGTGAACATTGGCACGGCCTAGTCTGAGGGAGTTAAAGGGGGCTATAAAATCACAGACTGATAGTGACCAGGCTTTGTTGATGTTGTTTTTTTTTTTTTTTGTCAAACAGTGTGGATCCTTTGACTTCATGACTTATTTTATATCAGTTGGCTTGCTTTAGCATTAGCTCACTGTAAGTGCTAGTCATAGCAAGATGTGGCCGGGCTGCTTACAACTGTTGTAATTCTGCTTCCAACCAGTAGGAGGGAGAAGCAAAGAACTTATTTAGTGTTGCTTTAAAGATGCGAACCATCTCAAAATACAGATACTGAGCGGTTATTCCTGCTTCAGCAGGCTCAAATCTGCATTGACGGGCAACAGTGGAAGAGGGAGTTAAGCGCCCAGCCCGTAACCGAAGGGTTGCAGGTTCGAGCTCCGTCTGCTGCATTTGTTATGTCCTTGGGCAATACACTTAACCCACATTGCCTGCTGGTGGTGGTCGGATTGACTGGTGCTCGGCAGCCTTGCCTCTGTCACTGTGTCCCAGGGTAGCTGTGGCTACATCGTGTCATGTTGTGAAGCGCCTTGGGGGGATTGTAGAAACGTAGGAGGCGCCAGATCAAAAACAGGCCATTTACCACTTATTCTGTATTTTTTTCTAACAAGAATACTTGAGGCTGACACAATCATGTGAATCATAAGAGAAGCAGATGTTCGTTGGTGTAAATTATGAGAGCTAAAAAAATCTAATAAAACTAAAATAAAGTGGTACAAAACTCATATCAGATTTACAGTGTAAAGCTGAACTATAATAATCTCTTTTGCTACATTATTTCTTCATTTTAAAGACGTTTGAACATTGCAAAAAAACCTGACAGCTTCCACAGTTTGCACTTCTATCAACGTAGTTTTACACACGACTGAAACGCCCATAAATTGTTAGAGCTGCAGTGTGAGCGTCACACATTTCAGCCTTGCAGCAATCAGAAACAAAAGAGAAGAAAAGACAAAAAACAGCATTCAAGCAAAATATCCGTCTCCCACACAAACACACACCTGTAGACCAGGTCTGCCTCGTGCACCTTCTGACCTCTCCTACCTCTCCCCCTCTCTGTCAGTGACGTATAGAGGAGGACTGAGCCTTCAGTCGCCAAAGAGGAAGAAGAACAAGCAGCAGCAGTGCAACAGAGACAGTTTTCTGAGAAACAAAGTCCACTGTCTCCATAGACTCCCCATTACAGACACCAGCAGTCTCCTTAAGGTTACTCCCTCAAGGCGTTCCTCTCCGTCGGTCTCTCGTTCTGCAAGCTGGCTTCATGTGCATGCACGTGCACTCGAGAGCAGCAGCACGCAGCTCTTTTGGTTAGGAAGAGACCACCAGGTGGAGAGTGGGTAGTGAAAGACGGAGGATTACTAGCAAAGACGTGAGAAGAGGAAAAAATAAATAAAAAATAAGGAAGAGGCTCTGGAGACTTAATAAAAATACAAAACAACATATGAATTATCAGTTGGGCCTATTTTACACTCTAACAAACCATTAAAACTGCTCTTTCACCAACTGATATTTAGACATTTTAATGAATTATCAAACGATAAAATATAAAATTCTAGGAAAACTAAAGAAAACAAAAGATCCAGTAATAGTGAAAAACACGAATAAGTATATTAAGCAACAGCAATTTGTTTTTAATATTTAGGATGAGTTTTTAATATTTTTTAAACTAATTTCTTTATTCAAAGCAGATAAAAACACCCTGTGGGATAAAACTGTGAGGTAGACTTATTGCGAGACGATGCTGCTCCCCTCTCTGCTGTGCGGAGGTGGTACAACCGTCGTGAAGCTGCTCAGTCACTGTTGCTAAGGACCACCCTCCTGAATATCAGCACATAAGCAATGAGCGTAAACAGGACTACAACACAAGCACTGACTCATGCATTCATCTGCTCGGTGAAGCTGAGCTAATGAACGTGTGAGCGGCTGAAATCGGAGGGAGATCGCTTTAATTGACTGACAGGTTGACCCGAGCAGCAGCAAAGCATCACGCACGTGGCTTCTCACATGAGGGGAGGTGTCGGCTCGGTTCTGCTCATCAGTGGATCAACACACAAAGGGACTTTTACACCAGGGATGAACTCATTAAACTAAAGATGTTTAAGTCAATGTGCATACATCAGACATCTGTGCAAAATGTCTGATTCATCCAAGCAACATAAAATTATGGAAATCTGTATTTTAAGCAGGTTTTTCATTTGCACTTGCCTTTAACGTTTACATAACAACACAGTTCAGAGTGTCCCTCTACCTTCTCAAACAGCGATGGAATTAATCTGGTTTGAAGGGATAACTAGCTTCTAGCCTAAACATTAAAAAGCAGCTTTGTTCCTTTAAGACTCTCGTTTTCTTCCATCCTCAGTCCCACTCTATTGTTTCCCACCATCTGTGAACACCTAGAACCAGGATGTTTACCAAGAAATAACGCAGGACTGCATAAAGCTCCACAGGCACTACAGCCCACAGCAAAGTCCTCGCCGTATAGAATACCCAGCATGCTCTAGGAACAGAAGAACAGTGACTCACAGAGATGTTTTATTTGTGTAACAGCTGGGCAGCACATATGATGTGTACGACAGAAGGTGTGAAGTTTAACTAAGATGTCAACAGTCTGGTTAACTTCATGTTCTCTAGTGGTTTTTACATATACAGCTGTAAAAGGCCAGTGATGACCCGCGTCACATTCATGTTACTTCTGTAGTCCACATCAGACCTTGGTAACATCTACACTTTTAACACAGAACAAGTCAGAGTACAGACAAAACTGTAATTATTCTGATGTCTAAACTGTCTTTGGTTTTAAACACAATGCAAAGCTGCAGAACCAAGCCTCTTTTTTTCCCCTGAAACAGCTGTTTTCATCCAACACCTTCTGGTTTTTTTTAAGTCCGACCTGTGAGAAAACGGTTTATTGTTTACAGTGCCCAACTTTAATCAGTTTTCCATCTTATATCAATAAAATCTGTCACTTTTACAAGCATGTTTGGATTAATGGTCGGACATTTCACCAGTAAAGTGATCAACGTGTGAATGACCGCATGCTGGAACGTTAATTAATTAATAAAACCAATAATTTGATGCTTCTAGAGTGGTGAAAAGGGCTTTTGACATATTGCAGCATTCAACAGAGGGTAGACAACCATGAGGAGTCAGGCTGTACTTACTTGATCTAGGGCTCCAGTAGATGACTCATGGGGGGGAGAGGGGGCTTTTTCAGGGATCAGTTCAGAGATCAGAGGTGGGCTAGCAGCTTCAGGCTGAGGCGACAAAGCGCTGACGGTAGGGTTATGGCTCCGCAGCCACCCCGTCACATGGCACCATCCCAGGTGCAGGAAGGAGCCTGTTGGCCTCTGACTGGAGAAGGGAAAAAAAACGAATGACATCATCTTTAGAGTTTGTTAACATGTGAGATTGGTCATGTAATTATTTACAGCTAATGATGTGATGATTACACACACTTATCCATTGGAAGAGTAAAACTTGCTCTTGTGAAGAATTTCAAAATTCAATAAAGGGATTCTAGGCAGTTTTTTATTGCTTTTAGCACCCCCTAGTGCCCATTATTAATTATTTGTGGTTAAACCAAAAATGAAACTTATTGTTTTTTAACACCTTAATCTAACCGCTGAAATGTCTCCTCAGCTTTCATTAGATTCTAGAGGAGCGATCCATCATTAAATCAAACACGTCAGTTGTGTTCACAATCTAAAACATGCTGGAAAAGTGCTGGAAGCAGACTCCAGCTCCACTCCACAACTTGCTCCAACAGCAAGGAGCTGCCCACCAACTCTGAAGTTGCAAGTCCGGTATTCTGGCCACAGGTGGAGGTTGAGTCAGAGTGACATTTTGTTAAGCAAGTGATTTCAATTCTGGGCCTGGAGAGCCGGTGTCCAGCATGTTTTAAGGTTGGTTTATGCTTGACGCGTCTGCGAGTTCCACACGGCTCTGCGCGGAAAAGTTGCGTCATTTTAACAACTACACCCCTCCACCGCGCCTCCGCACGGCCCAAACATTCCGCACCGCGCACCTAGGAATTTTTCTAACCACGCGGACGGTCGGACGTGGAAAAACATGGCGGACTGGCAAGAACTAGTATGGCAGAGGTTCGTAAATACAGACATTTGTATGATTCAGCTCTCAGAGATCACCGTGATCAACATGTTGTTAATAATTCTTGGAGAGAAATAGCTCGCACTGTCGGAAAAGACGAGGACGCTGTTAAAAATGCTGGAATGCCATGTTGTAAACAACAGTAATTTCTACTTCTACTATGGTGTAGTGTTGGATGCATGCTGTAGAGCTCCATGCTGCCCCCTACAGTTTGGGAGAATATTGGCTCACCGCAGAGACAAGCCGCATGAACCATGAACGCTGCAAGTTGTGAAGCGCGTTCCATCCGCGAGCCGCATCACCAAGCGGAAAGTGAATGCGTCAAGCATAAACCAGGCATCAGTTTTAACCCTGTTTCAGTCAGCAGGTAATTAACAGGCTTCTGCAGAGGTGATTCAACCACTGAATCAAGTGTGTTGGAGCACAGAAACCACTAAAACATGCTGGATGAAAGCCATTCAGGTTTGGAATTTAATATGCCTGCTGTAAAAGTTCCTTTTAGCACATACTGGCTCAAGAAAATGATTTAAAAATATTAAAAAGTTGCAAAGTATCCCTTTAATATTAAATCTGTAGCATGTCGGCCATATCACGGAGTGAAATAAGGTCCTATGGTGCTGCATAGACAGCCATTAGGCAGCAGTTACAGTAAAAAATAATATAAATGTAAAGGCTACCAAGCAGATAAAAGTACAAAAAGGTTTCAGTGGTATTAAATAAGGAAATAACAAGTATGCAGCCATTTATGTTCCACTTTTCTGTATTTCTACAAATGCACCCCCACCCCACTTAGCTAAAACAGCAATAATACAATAACTACTTTATACTCAATCCTTCTTTACATTAAAACTGGTATTTAACATAATCTGCCTAACACTGAAATTGGTTCAGGACAATTTCAAAATCTGAACATTTCATTCTAAGTTTATACATTTAAACCAACATGAACAGCCAATCAACATCATCTTATTAAACCAGAGCATAGAATACCCACAAAGCTCTGATGCTTGTGGTTAAAATGCTCAGGAGTTAGAAACTTACCAGACTCAACACTTGTGTTAATCACAATTAGTTCACGACCCACGATCACAGAATTAAGTTAAAATCCAGAAATTTTCTGCTCCATAATAATAATAAAAAATAAATAAAAAACACACACAAAAACAAGCGTTCTTATTCTGAAAACACAACCCAACAACAGAAGCCCGTCTTGTCTCAGCTCTGCTTTTTACTCTCAAATCTGATTCTAAAAGATTCCACCTAAACCCAGACACGAGCTCCTTTCAGATGTTAACTGATGCCATGGACGTCTCCAGTGCTGTAGGTTAGTAACACATTAATCACTGAATAAAGCTGATGTTTAACACAATCCTTGATGTGTTTACGTTTTAGAGTCCTTCGCCGAGTTAGCCGGGCCCACTCGTTGAGCTTCAACAGAGCAGATCTGATGCTGGTTTGTTTTGGAACAGAGTGAGGGCTTTTACACCTCATCTATCAGTGATTGTCAGAAGTTCACGGCCCATGTGACGAGTTGTGACGAGTTGTGCAGATGTGAAGAGGTCAGCTGCTTGTACAAGTGGAATGTTGTGACCTAGAATATGCAAGATGAGTCTTTTATACCATAATATTATATTAAATAAAAGTCTAATCACATAGACCACTACAGCCTAGGTTTTTTTTTTTTTTTTTGCCTCATTCACGTTTTTTCAATAAGTCTGATGTGTTCTCTAGTATGAGTGAAAGCCTTGAGTCATGTTCTGGGCCTGACAATGGGATTACAGGTCACACCGTGGAACGATGAACACACGTAACGCCAATATGTGTCAACGCAAGAGCCTTCTGACCCAGGCGCGCAGTTAGGGTGGGGGACGGGGGGGATCTGTCCCCCCCCAGATTCAGATCGACCCCGATCCGTCCCCCCCCAACTAAGGCCAGAAAGAAAACAAAATCGGAGGTTAAGCACTAGAAGCTCCTTTTTCCAATTACATTGAATGCAGCATGACATAAACAAACACCGACTCCAGAGGCACCAAAGTGGTTGCTGCTAGGACGCAGGATGAAGCGAAAAAGGCAAGCAACGATTACTGCATATTTAAGAAAGACCAACAGTGTAAGTAGGCGGGACCGATCTGTCTGTTTATGCATGTTGGTTCTAGATTCAGTACGTTGTTGTCAGTGTTGGGACTTACTCGTTAAAAGCGCCAAAGCCTCATTGCTGACTTTAACAAGTCTCATCTACAAATATGATCCCTCATGAAGTTACTACTTTACATCAGAAGATAGTGGAGATGTGGAACCTTCAGGCTGAGCAAAGTTTGGGAGTTTTTAGAGTTTGAAAAACGCCTCCCTCCGAGAGGCTCCCAGTTGGGGAGAGGAAGAGATACGCGCAGCATGAAGAGCGCAAATATTAGATAAAACGTATAATTGCCGGCAGGTCTGGTCTTTGTTGACTGATCACTTTGTCTGGTCACGACTGACTCTGATTATGAAGCAGATTATTGACTCTGATGAAGAAATTCACTCATCCAGCCGGGAAGATTGACGCTGCTGCAGCATCAGACAGCTGGTGCTGCACGATAGGTGTGTGGAGTTTACAAGCTCCAACGTTGGGTTTGATGTTGGTATAATCTTCTTTGGGACGTGATGGATGTAGAAATGATAGTAAACACACTGCTAACGTGGCGACAATGTAAAAAAAAAAGCCGTAAAAAGAGGCAGATGCTGATGCGTTAGATATGGAGGGCAAAGTGTGCCACATAATCATAAAAAAGGTAAAATATAAAATTTAAAAAGAACTTTATATATTTATATACAAATTAAAACTTTCCAAATATAATGAACATTTCTAAATAACGTAACAATATGAAGGAACATCTGCTGGGTATCTGCAGGTTTAAAGGAGCCAAATTTAAGACTTTTAAGACCTTTTTAAGGCCACTTTGACCAAATTTAAGCAACTTTTGAAATTAAATTTAAGCTATAATTTCTAACCGCGCAAAAGTGGGATTAACCATTCAGTTACCATCAAACTTGCACTTCCCCATGGCGCAAGCTCCCACTAGCTTAACCAGCAAATTTTTTATTTCGATTCCTAGTTTCGATTCATAGAATGCCGACGGAAAGAGGAATCCACGGCCGATCTCCGTGAAAAATAAACATGATCTGCAAATTGTGATCAACACTTTTCAGAGCTGATCACAACAGCTGTCTGTGTGTAGCACCGAGTCCCCCTCCCCCCACTCAGATATAAACAAACGCGTCTGCCAAACTTTTACTCCGTAGTGTAAACTTTAACTCCTGCAGCGTAGAGGAAACTTGTTAAAATACGTCAACACGGTGGATTTAATAGAAGCTTTAAAGCACAAACTCTGGACGGTGTGAGGTTGAATCACCTGTTTAGCAGCTCATCACGTTCTGCAGAAGTCTGTTAATCACCTGCTGAGTAAAATCAATTGTGTTAGAGCAGGGAAACCTCAAAAACAGGCAGGATGGTGACCCTGGAGCACCAGGGTTGGACACCACTGATGTAGATGGATTATCACAATTACAAAATATCTTGAATAAAACAGCAAACAAATAAATGTAAACTACAAATAAACCCTAAAACGGTTGAAAGACATTTCAAATAAGTATTTTAAATTATTTAAAAAATAACCTAAAATGATTTGGATCAGGGGTCTGCAACCTTTACACTTTTAAGCCTGATTCATGCTTCTCCGTCAGCTCCAAAAGGGAGAGAAACGCACGCACAGACGGAGACGTTTTGCCATCATACTTCTCCGTCTCCTGGGGAGTGTGTTTATATTGTGTTTTTTGTATATAAGAGACTTTTTAACACAGACAAATTTGTCTCTCATCCTCCTCCACCTCTTCATGCGCTCGCCACCTCTAAACCCACGTTTCCTGTCATTTCCGTCCACAAATAAAATGCTCGCTGCGCATCTTTTCACTCCTCCAGTCACGGGGGAATTAAACGTTCATGTTTTTAGAGTTTTTTTGCGAGGTAATCTTCAAGCTGCTCCGTGTCTGCTTGTTATTCTCGGCTCTCTTTATGTTTTTGAGGGCGCAATGGCGGCGCTGTAGACAACAGCGGCGTCCTGACCAATCACAAGCTTGCGTTGTCCGTCTCGACTGACGGATGTTTAGAAAAGAGAGCTCGACTCCGTCCGTCCTTGCGGAGCTCTCCGGCAGGCCCGCAAGGACGGATAATGGCGTTGCGTGTCTCCGCACTGACGCAGACGCAG